CATTCTTTTAAAATCATTTACATATGTTAACTGTTAAACATCCTCCCAACCACTCTTTGATGTATTACCTTTTTGATTTTTTACAACAGGAAATGGGGCTCAGTGTGGTTATACAGGTTAGGATTTTCATGTTAGGGATAAAAGGACTGGAATGGGCTCCAGGCCTAATGAAGAGTTTGTCATTAAGCCCTCAATCATCCCCTCATTTGAATAGGAATAAATACACTATGGATCTAAACTTGTAGCACTATAAACATATAAGAAACTTGTGGTTTTAATCAATGATCTCCCAAATGCCTCTAAGAAATTTTAACTAAGGTATCCTCAACACATTAAGGCCAGGATAACTATGAGAAACACCTATAAACGTAGTGAACATTAAACTATATAGGTAAATAAGTACCCAAATCATTAAGAAATATTTTTGAATGTTATTTGTTTATCCATCAACACTTTTAGAAGTGGAGAAAGCAATGTCACCTTCAGTGTTGCTTCTATCATAAAACATTCCAATTTCGTCATAAGTGATGACACAGATTCGGAACCTTTCTTATAAAGCATGTTTTTCTGTCTGCCTCTCTTCCACGAGCCTCATACATTTAGCTTGGTTCTAGACTCTGGGAATTTATTTCCACCTGGCTCTGCCTGTACCCTTCTTTCCTTCAGGCAGGGGTACAGGGTAAATAGCCATCCATAGAAGCCACCCACAGTTGACAGAAGAAAAAAAAGACGTGTGACTTGGGGATGTCACTATTCTTTGAGGTCCGTTTCTGCAGTATGAAGGATTAAAAAGTACTTTCATTTGTTTTGTTTGTGAGTCTTGAATTCTTTTTCTAGTTCTACAGAAAGAAATACAGGAAAAAAGACATGAAAGCATTAGAAAATGTAAAGATGCATGAAATAAAACAACTTTAATTCTTATCCAGAGGCATCCACTGTTATTTTGCCACATTTCCTTCAGCCTTGTTTCCAAGTTTTTTTTATGGTATGCATTCAGTGCATCCATTGACAGATTGAGTTCCTTATTATGTGCCAAGGATTGTGCTGAGCACTTTACATTTACATATTATCACATTACAACTTTGATGTTGCTTATTTCCCTCTTTGCATTATAAACATACCACTGAAACCTCTCCATAAGTATGTTTTCCGTATATTTTATTGTTTGGGCTTAAATTAATTTAGATAACCATTGCCTTATCTTCAATCATGCTAAGTTTCTAATATTTTGCTGTTAGAACTAGTCATTTGATTATCTTTGTCCATTAATTTTTCTTACTTATCTGATCATTTCCTTTGTAGAAGTATAAACTGTAGCATCCAAGGGAATTACCTCTTTTTTTTTTTTTTTTGAGATTTTATTTATTCATTCCTGAGAGACACAGAGAGAGAGGCAGAGACATAGGCAGAGGGAGAAGCAGGCTCCTTATAGGGAGCCCAATGCTGGTCTCAACACCAGGACCCCAGGATCACACCCTGAGCCAAAGAGCCTAAGGCAGACTTTCAACCACTGAGCCACCCAGGCATCCCGGGAATTACCTCTTTTTAAGGATTATGATATCTAGACATCTGGTTGATGTCTAGAAAAGTTGAACCAATTTGCACTCCAGCAAGGAAAGACAGTTTTCACATCCTTCATCTTCATCCTGAAGATGATCTCTTAAAAATCTTTGATAAATTAATGTAAAATGGGACATCTCGTTGCTTTAATTTATATTTGTTTTCTAGTGAGATCCAAAAAATTTACTTGGATTTATTTTCCATTTACTTTTGTAAGTTATCTGTTCCAGGCCTTTTCTAGTTAACTATCATTTGCTTACATTTGGGATACATTAAGGATCTTTGATTTTGTTCAGCATGATTACTCTGTTGTGAATAATTTCTTCTCTAGATTGACTTCTAGGAACTAGTTGAATATATGAAATAGAAATGTATTTTCCATCACCCCCTGAATTAAGGGAAACAACTATGCTTATCTCTTTATAAATAACCTTAAGTCAACAGCCCCAGGGAGTAAGGGAGAGAGGAGAGAAAACCTGGAGACTGGGCTTCTGTTCAGTGTGGAGATAGAGGAAGTAGTCTCTTGGACTTCCTGCTAATTTTGGTACTCTCTTATTTGCTTTATTTTTCAGTTTTCCACAGATGTGGTGATGAGTGTTCACTGTAGTATTATAGTATGGTGGTTAGGCACAAGGGCTCTGGAGCCAGTGTGTTAGGGTTCAAGCCCTCTTGCAACCACATAGCAACTGAGTGACCATCTCGCCAGTGGATTAATTAGCACCTCTGCTTCAGTTTCCTCATCTTTAAATTGAGAGATGATAATAATAGTATTGGGAATGATAATGATGGAATCTACTTTAGCAGGTTGTGAGGATTAGACAATTTATACATTAGGTCCTTACAACAGTGTCCAAGACTATATATAATTTTTATTATACCTTTATTGTTATCTGCACCATAGACTCAGTGGGATCAAAAGGGAAAAGGGAGGAACTGTAAGTTCTCGTAGAACTGAGGTACCCCAAAATGGCTGTGCGATCAATTCTCCAAATAGGACAAAAAGGCCTATTACCCAGGAGCCACTACCAAGGTATAGGCATTGGGAGGAAAAACCAAGAAAAAGAAAAAGTATGACATCAGCTTTGCTTTCAGGAAATCTATAATTCAAAAGATCTCAGCAAAGGGACACCTGGGTGGTTTAGTGGTTGAGCATCTGCCTTCAGCTTAGGGCGTGATCCTGGGGTCCAGGGATCCAGCCTGGCATCGAGCTCCTTGCAGGGAGCCTGCTTCTCCCTCTGCCTATGTCTCTGCCTCTCTGTGTCTCTCATGAATATATAAATAAAATCTTAAAAAAAAAAAAAAGATCTCAGCAAGAGAAAACATCGTTAATATAAATGCAGTTTAAAAAGAAGTGTGGGGGCCCACTCTACTATGAACGTTTGGAACATTTTCAAATCTATGCTTTATCTTCTATCACATGTAACAGTGTGAAATCGAGGGAGTCCTGGGAATAGATGCTGATTACTAATTTATTTCCAATAAAACACCTGAGATTATCCCATTTAATAATTTACGCAGTGTGATAGCGTCTTTATTATGTTACACGCACTAAAGGTAAAATCATTCTAAATCCATAAGTGAAATGATAGTGGCTGAAAATTTGGAGTTTTTTTTTTTTAAGATTTTAATGCATTTTTGGGAGAGAGAGAGAGAGAGAGACAGCGCATGAGTCAGGGAGGAGCAGAAGGAGAGAGAGAAGGAGAAACAGACCCCTGGCTGAGCAGGAATCCATCCCAGGACCCCAGGAAAATGACCTGAGCTGAAGGCAGATGCTTAACTGTCTGTTTAACCCACTGAGCCACCCAGGTGCCTCAAATTTTGGAGTTAGGTGCTTGTAAGTTTATGCTTAAAATAAGTATTTAGTCATTGTTTTTCTAATTTCAACGAAAGAAGCATGGCTGTTTGGTTTCTTAGTGAAGTCAAATAAGAGAGCAAAACACATCGGTTTTCTCTTATGTACTTGAATTGCCATGAGCTTGTGGTAGAGAAACCCAAGTGGAGTCCTTTCTTTAAGGTTCCCAGTTTTCTTATTCTTGAGACAAGGAAGTCTGTCCCTTAGGGGTTCCCATGAAATGGGGGAGATTTTCTTCCATGTGTTTATTCCTTCCTCTCTTAGCTCCTGTTGAAGGAGGTCATGGAGAACACATAACCACATGTTGACCCTCATACTGGACTTGGGCATTTATTTGGAGGATCTTCATCCCCTCCCTTACTTTTGCAATGTATGGTTGTCCCATTGTTCTCATACTCGAAGCCACTTCAAGGGCGCAGCCTTGAGAGAGTAACATATTGTAGAGCCTATGTATATGACTGAACCCTTGAAGGCCTTTGTACAAACTCTTAAGATTCTGGAGGGCAGGTGAAAAGATCTGCTCATCCTGCGACCTCTGAAGACAAGCCTCATCTGTAAATTCCCTTGCTTATTAAAACTGCCACCTACCAATCTGGAGTGATCAACCCTTTCTTCAGTCTGCATGCACAGGGGAGCAGTTTCCAGTTTCACCTGGAGAACTCCTGAGGTTACAAACCAGCAGCTCTCCATCCAGACCTGGAGCTCCCATTGCAGTGGGCTACTTGCATGCCTCCTTGTGACGGCAACACAGGTAAAGTGTGCCGTGCTATGAGAGCTGTTTTATAACTAACCTCTAATTTGATAAATGCTTAAGTTGTAAGTGAACTGTCCTCCTAGGCCTGTATCAACTGTCGAGAAATTTTTTCAGGCCTACTGTTGTAGATACTTGGAATTTGTGGGGGGGGAATACTTCCCCCCGAGTATAAAGCAAAACCCCAAACTCTAATTTTTTTTTGCTAAGACATTACAATTACTTGTACTTAACGTTCCCTGGACAGCATATATATAATACTTGATTCAGTAATTAGAACCCCTCATGGCCCCAGAGCCTACCCAGTTAGGCAGGGTTGTTTATGTTTAAAATTTTTAAAAATATTTTATTTATTTATTCATGAGAGACAGAGAGAGAGGCAGAGACAGAAAAAGCCTGCCTGCGGGCAGCTTGATGTGGGACTCCATCCCAGGACCCACAGGATCATGCCCTGAGCTGAAGGCAAATGCTCAACTGCTGAGTCACCCCGGCATCCCGAAATTTGTGGTTTTAACAATAGCAGGTTTAACGTGGAATGACCCAAAGGTCCAGGCAATGAATCAACTAAAAAATTTTTTTTCTGCAGTCACATTTGAGAAGCAATAGCAGAGCAGTTATGCTGTGCTTTCTTATTTTCCTGGAGGTAGGAATTTTCGTGAAGTGTAGAAACTATGCACCTATGAGAAACGGCCTCAAAGCAGTATAACACTTAGTGCTGACATGAAAGTAAGGGATGAGATAAAATCTTAGAAAAACCTCAACTGCGTGGCTCAGTGGTTGAGTGTCTGCCTTTGGCTCAGGTGGTAATCCTGGAGTGCGGGGATTAAGTCCCACATCGGGCTTCCTGCATGGAGCCTGCTTCTCTGCCTGTGTCTTGGCCTCTCTCGCTCTTTCTGAATGAATAAATAAATAAACCTTTAAAAAAAAAAAAGTTCTTTTGCCTCGTTGCATCGAGAGAGCAAGATGGGTCACCAGCAGCTCTACTGGAGTCAAACGAGAAAGTTTGGCCAGGGCTCTCATTCTTGCCTTGTGTGTTCAAACTGGCACGATCTGATCTGGAAATTTGGCCTCAGTATGTGCCACCAGTGTTTCCGTCAGTACACGAAGGATATAGGCTTCATTAAGTTGGATTAGATGAACTTCCTTGAATGGGTCATCCAAGATACCTACCTTAACTGCAGATGTCCAAGGTACCTACCTTAATGCCAACTCATTGTACATAAAAGAAAAATACTGAGTGTTTAAAAAAAAAGTAAGGGATGAAGAAGAGATCTAGGAACAGCGGGATGCTTCATCAGAAAACAGTTTCATGGAATTTTGTAGGTTAAAGGAATGTTCTTCAAATTTTTTGCTCACTTCCTTTGTAAAGAAGTTTCAAAAGCAATGTACTGCCTGACACACTTTAAAGTTTTCATTATAAGCTGAATTAATTTCATATTATAGAATAAATAAGATGAGGATTAGCTAGTTACAATAAGTATTTTATAATGTGAGGGCACCTGGTGGCTCAGTGGTTGGGCATCTGCCTTTGGCTCAGGGCATGATCAGGTCCTGGGATCAAGTCCTGCATCAGCCTTCCTGTGGGAAGCCTGCCTTTCCTTCTGCCTGTGTCTCTGCCTCTATCTCTGTGTCTCTCATGATAAATAAATAAAATCTTAAACATTTTGTAATTTGAGGACAAGTTTACCTACTTTATTGAATAATGCACAGTGAATCTGAAATTACATAAACATTTTTATTAATGCTTTTATTCAATCAGTGGCCCCCCAAACATGTCATATTCCACAATGAAAAAAATCAATGGGACTAACCTATATTGCCTCCGTTTGTTATGAAGTTTGAACATGTCAATGTTCATTATGTAAAGGCTCTAAACAGAAGGGGAGAAAAATGGATATTATGTTTCTGCCTCATATCATTGTTCATTTTTACTTTGTGCTTTGGCCTAGAAGGAAAGACCTAGGCAGGCTATCAAGTGTCTATGTTTTAAAACTGCAGAGAAGGTTATAGATAGGATTACCATGTGTATTGTAGTCATTAAGACTAGTTCCCTAATGGGTAAAACAGTTTCTTTTTAACTTGGTCATCTACTGTTAGAACCTGAGGACTGCCTTAAGCCCCCTAAGTCCATTCCATGTGGGGTGGCTCTGATTGTTGAAGGCTGTCCTACATATCGACCCGAAAGTTGTATCCCTTTATCATTCCTCCATTATAGTCCTAGTGCTGACTCTACCTGTATTTAATTCCCACTTCCACATAACCATCATATATGCATTTGAAAATTGCTATTATATCCTCTCTAGGCCTTCTTTTCTAAGCCATTTCTCATATATTATTTGCAGTCCACTGGGAACCCGAATATCTGAAAAATAAAAAAGTAGGACTCCCACACTTTTGGTTTGGACAATTAAATGTGACCGACTAGGATAAACTCTAATAAATTTATTAAAGCTTGGTTCATATACATTAAAATGAACAAGTTTGTATTAGAGAATAATACAGATGGAAGGAATTATAGTTTTAATCTACTAGAAGGTCTGCCATATGGTCCTTTGGAACATCACAAAGCTATTGTACATATGACATTCTGGAAATTTTAAGGACTCTTGTCAGAGAACTGCCAGGATTACCTTGAATTGTAGTGGTTTTCAATTACTGCTCATATATTCACATTTGCAGGAATTCTTTTTTGGACCTGTGTATTGTGATTGCTGATATTGTTTGTGATGACACCATTTTGGTTGGTATTTGGTTCTTCTCTAGTTCTTCATAATTCTTGAGTTCTTTTGCTGCTGATGAGGGTAGCTTGAGGTTAAAAAAAAGAAAAAATTGGAGAACCATGCTGTGTTCTTGATCCTTAAATAGGTATTTGGCCAGACTCATATAGAGGAGGTTGTTTCTCTTCAGAATACACAGGCACAGGCTTCATGTCAGAGATTCAGAATTAGTATGTCCATGGAGAGGCCCAGGTACTGTGTAAAGTTCTTCTTAGGTAATTCTTCTTTTTTTAAAAAAGATTTTATTATTTTATTTATTTATTCATGAGAGAGGCAGAAACATAGGCAGAAGGAGAAGCAGGCTCCCTGTGGGTAGCCTGATGGCGGGACTGGATCCCAGGATCCTGGGATAACAACCTGAGCCAAAGGCAGACCCTCCACCACTGAGCCACCCAGGTGCCCTTCCCAGGTAATTCTGACACTTGCTTTAGCAAGTACTGCTCTGGATGATGCTGATTCCATCATACATTCTTCGAGTTTGTCTTCTCAGACTATTGATTTCACAAACTGAACCTCTTCCAATCTGCTCTACTTCTTTGTTGTCTGCCTCTGGAAGGATTATCAGTCTTTTCAACGCCCTTGTTTCCCTGCCCTCTTTCCCGAATTCTAATTCACAAGTCCTGTGTGATCTGGCTCTCGCTTCATTTCTCTTGGCTCATTGCCATTGCCACTGTTCTCCTGCAGGCCTCCACCCTACTTTTTGTCTCCTCACTCACTTTCCTACTTCTATCCTCTACCTGGTCTTTCAGCAGGAAGTCAGAGATGCCATCCTGTCACTCTTGCCCTACAAACCTTCCCCGGTTTCCTGCTGTCTATATGACAAGTCTAAATTGTTTTGGTTGGTTTGAAAGGCCATTTATTTATTTATTTTTAAAAAGATTTTATTTGTTTATTCATGAGAGACAGAGAGAGAGAGAGAGGCAGAGACACAGGCAGAGGGAGAAGCAGGCTCCATGCACGGAGCTGGATGTGGGACTCCATCCGAGTACTTCGGGATCATGCCCTAAGCTGAAGGCAGAGGCTCAACTGCTGAGCCACCCAGGCATCCCTGAAAGGCCATTTAAAATCTGGCTCCCAATCACCTTCCTAGTGTTACCTATTGAAGTAGCCCTGGTCCCAGCCTATCTGTTCAAATGCAAATTAAATATCCTTTTCCCTCCTCTCCCATCAGAATCCACTGGGTCTTCCTTTGCGGTTTGCAGCCATTTGATTCATAAATAGATTAGTGTTTTTTCTTCTAGCTTTGAAATCAGTGCCTGTCACAGAATTTGGCATATATAGTTGCACTATATGTGTGTTAAATAGATGAATGCATATTGGTATGGATACCCAAGCCTGTTCATTCACATTCAAATGTATCTGATTTATTATCCGTTACACTTTCTTTTGTCTTTAAGTGAATCATGAGACACTACCTGGTGCCTTATTGAAACAGTAATAAAAGGGGCACCTGGGTGGCTCAGTGGTTGAGCATGGCTCAGGTTGTGATCCTGGAGTCCTGGGATCGAGTCTTGCATAGGGCTCCCCGCAGGGCGTCTGCTTCTACCTCTGCCTATATCTCTGTGTCATAAATAAATAAAGTCTAAAAAGAAAAAAAATAATTAAAAAATAATAAAAATACATATTCTCTTCTAATTTTATTTTTAAGAGAAAAGGTATTAATTTATCATGACTAATTTGTAGTGAAAGTGTGCTAATTTGGGGGGGACTCTTCTTTTTTAGGCACTCAAACCATCTAATTAGAAAGAAGTCCGACTTACTTAGAATGAGGGGTGGGTCGGATTGTATGTACAAGGAACAAAAATCAGGTAGAAAATAATACCAAATGATAAAAGATACTTGTATCAAGATGGCAATATGGTGGTTATTTCTTCTTTTGTGTCTTCCAGTTTTCTATAATCTTTCTTATGTTATATTCTGAGTATGTACAGGTGGTATGGTTATGCATGTGGTCTTTTCCCTGTTTTTGAATTAACTATAATGTGTTTACTGTTTTTATAATAAAAGTTGCATTTTATAATGGTGTATTTGGTAGCAGGTAACAAGCACTTTTTTAAACGAATGCATTTTTAAATAAACATTAAAAACAACATAGTTAAACAGAAACACGGTTTGTGGACATTGAACTGCACAATCTTCAAATAAATACACTTTCTCAGATTAAGGTAGAAATGAACCATACTACTGATGTCCAATTGTAAGTTATGCAGTTTAATTATTTTTTAGTAGGAAGGGGTTATACCTCTTTAGCAGGGTGGGGGCGGAGATAAAAGACATAAATTTGACTTTAACATTGCAACTTCTATGGCTGGGCTTCAGGAATGTATCTAATAGGGCAAAGGTTCCCCAGAGACAAGAGTCATCTAATCTAATAAAGATAAAAGATTAAACATAAACCTGTCTCTAGAGAGAAAAAAATGAATAGGATAATTGGCTTAGGGACCTGGTAGCACCTGGAAACAGATGCTGTACATATACCTGGAATACATCATTAACAAATGCATCCAGAATTGCAGAATGCCTGGAAGATCAAATCTCATTTAGAGGAGCTAGAAGGATTTTGTTTCTCTCTGAAATGAGGGTTAGTCCAGAGGCCATGCTGTGTGGATCCAGAGAACCTGGTGTGTCTTAATCTGGTGCGAAGCTTCAGGGATGAGGTTAGGAAGAGTGTGTGACAGAGCTTTTTTACAGAACTGCTTTGTAGAGGAGATCTTATCATTCCTGGGCGTTGCTTTGAACTCCTGCTTCTTTTGAACTTCCTTCTAGAAAAAGAGGAATTGCTGTTTGAATACAGGAAAAGTAGTATTTTCTTTTGTTTTTATGTTACCACTGTTTAGGAAGACCTGCCATTCCATATTAGCCTTTTCCTCTCTGTTGTCTCAGCTAGTAAATAAAAGGGCACAGGAGAGAGGAGAGATTGGAAGAGAATGGTTCCAAATCATATGGGATGCAGTTTTTAAAGATCTCTGCTCTTAAGCTATAGACAACTCAAGTATCCTTAAGTGTTATTTCCTCAAAAGATATTTTTTCTTGAAGTCAATTTAAAAATTTTACTAGTAAACATTTGTGACTTTTTGTAACCTAAGAAGAAAAGGTATACCTATCTCCTTTCAGTTAATTTTTTTAAAGGAAGCTTTCTCCTGCTATAGAAATTTATTCTTTTTAATTTTGAAAACCACTCCAAAATAAATAGTCCATAGTTTCAGATTCTAGAGTAACATGTTTTACCAGACTAGTTTAAAAATTACAATTTACTAAGCATAAAATGTTCTGACCAGCACAATGTCTGTGGATATGTAGGTGCCAGGAGAGAGCAAGGACTGTATAATTTTATTTGACTTTTCTTTTTCTTTTTTTTTTTTTAAGATTTTATTTATTTATTCACGAGAGACATAGGGACAGAGAGAGGCAGAGACATGGGTAGAGGAAGAAGCAGGCTCAACACAGCGAGCCTGACATGGGACTCGATCCCAGGACTCCAGGATCATGCCCTGAGCCGAGGGCAGATGC